GCGAGAACGCCGTTTGCTTTCAGTTTCGCATTGAATTAGCCTATTCGTTTTGGCTTGTTTTGCAACTTATATTTTTCATTCTTGTTTTCTTCTGAAACCGTTCAAAATAAGCCTATATGCTAGGTATTGTGTTTATTGTTTTTACAAATGTATAACATTTCGCTTTATTTACTGGTGTTATTTATTATTATTATGAATGTAATAATGCGGTTTTTGCTTATCTGTGTTTAACCTAAACTGCAACGTAACATTAATGTAAACCTACATACCGGTATCTAAATATGATTTTATAATTTTATGCTATATAGACCTACCACATTACCCTCCACTGGATGTAGAATGAGCAGCAATAAACTACATTTTGGCATTTTATAATACTAATGTGGATATTTTGGTGAAAGTAACTCAAAAGTAGTGTAACGCATTACAATTCAGAGACAGTAATATTGTAATGTAACTAATTACTTTCAAAAGACCGTAACTAGTAATATATAATGTATTACATTTTGGAAGTAACTTGCCCAACACTGTTGATGAGCCTAACTGGATGGTGAAATTTTGATAAAGTGATGGGCTAGTGATGTCCTAATTGAACTATGGCCTAATCCTGGCTGAGTATAAGCCCTGTCTGTGAAACCAGGCCTATGTTTTAATAATATTTTGTCATGCTTTGAGAAAGTACACTTATTTTGATGTGTTGACTAACATACCAAAGCACATTTAAAGTACTTTATAATTTTAACTGTAACGTGTTACTTGATATAACATTTAACATTAATATATTTTATATGTACTAAAATTAGGGCTGCACGATATATCGTTTCAGCATCGATATCACGATGTGCGCATCCACGATAGTCACATCGCAGGATGTGCGATGTTTAGTATAGGCTACTGACCATTGTCTACACCAGACGCGACAGCAGTACAGAGATACCCATTTTTAAATACATTTAGTAGCAGAGCTACTGCAAGGGATTTTCAGTGCTGGAAATCCATTTATCCTTTGTTGAAACTTCAGAGTGTCGAGGAGAGCGCAGGTCACGCAAGCTCCCGAGCGCTTTGGAAAGAAGGAGAAAGCGGCGCGGCTGGCGTTTTCCACGTGTTTTTAGGCGCGACATGTGAACGGCCCCAAACGTGTCGTCGTGGAGAGAGCGCAGGTCACGGTTGCTTAGCAACGGCAGACGCCACGAAAGCGCAAGCTCCTGAGCGCTTTGGAAAGAAGGACAAAGCGGCGCGGCTGGCGTTTTCCACGTGTTTTTAGGCGCGACATGTGAACGGCCCCAAAGCCTGTCTACACTGGACGCGACAAAGCGACCGTTACATATAATTTGAACTTTGTGTCAGTACGTCATAAATAGAACAAGGCATCAGTTTACTGTCGGGATTTGTCGTGTCGCG